TAAATGACGGGTATGTCGAGCTCTGTACTCAGCTTCATCTTATTATCTGATGCCTGTACTCTTAACGGCATTTAAACTCTGTATTATCAATGGCTAACAATAAAATTTGTAAAATTAAAGAATAGTTGACATCAAATAAGCTTACCTAAAACATTAAAAAAACACTATGTAACATTCCCTAGGCAAGAAATTACCTCACATTCCGCCTCTAGTAATAAACATCACAGCACTTACCCTTACATGCAACACAAAATTCTTAGTTATAAATTTTGATAATAATTTACATCTGTAATATATAACGAATACGATACACAAAACTAATCTACCAATCACTAAGCCATCCCCATATCACACACAATATGGGGAGGGGTATCAGTAGATAATCTTGAACCTCTAAACAACACCCATAAACATAATATTAGAACAATTATGGAGCTAAGAAGATATAACCACACCAACGACAGTTATGAAAAGCCTTAGATAAAGAAAACTCAAAGATTCTATTGAAGTTAGACAAGTAAATATTGTATTTGAAGCTATAACCAATGATATAGATATGTCCCAATCAAAAGAAAGTGAAAGGTATCCCATACATAACCCTTTCTCAGCTACAAATTCCTCCCTTGAGAACCACCCAGAGCCAAACAAACGCAAAATATCAAGGACGACCTAAATGGATTTTTTTTTTTTTTCTTTTTTTTTTTTTTTTTTTTTTTTCTTTTTTTTTAACTACCCGTGAGTTAGGTAGTCCGGGTTCCGCTTTCACCACCCGGTTATTGGAGCTACTTAAGGTGATCTTATTTTAAGCTTGCATTTGTATTGAGTTTACATTTGATAAAAGTTTATCTTGGGGGAGGTGCCATAGAGATTGTTTAGAAAGATTCCTCTGATACTAGTATGGTGCGGGCACAAGTTGCTGCTATAGTGCTTCTCTGTGAGGTTTCCATGTCTGGTATATCCCTGAAATTGTGGGGTCTAATGTGATAGATTGCCTGACAGTCTAGTAAGCAGTGTGTTAGTGGATGGCAGCATCCCGGCATCCGTCAAAACAAAACCAACATTGTGACGCATGTTGTTCTCTTGTGTTTTGTTTCTCTTTTGAGTTTTGTTGCTCATGTTGATGATTATGATATATACAGAGTTAAAGTGCTGGATAGATATTTTCTTCTGTTAAAACTGTAATTTAAATACATTTTTGCACACACACACGCATATATATATGCACACACACACACACACACACATATGTAAATGCATCTTTATATGTATGTATATGTTTATATACATACATATATATATATATATATATATATATATATATATATATATATTATATATATATATATATATGTATGTATATATACCCACAATAATATACATAGATATACATATGTATGTGTGTATATATACAATGTGTTTGTGCGTGTGTGTGTGTGCGTTTGTGTGTTTTGTGTGTATATATACACACACACACACACACACACACACACACACACACACACACACACACACACACACACACACACACACACACACACACATGTGAGTGTATGTGTATAAATGTATATGTATATATATTATATATTATATATATAACGATTATATACATATATATAATATATATATACATAGATATACATATGTATGTGTGAATATATACATATGTTTGTGCGTGTGTGTGTGTGTTTGTGTGTGTGCATGTGTATATTTATGTACATTTATTATATATATATATATATATGTATATATATATACAATATATATATATATATACATATATACATATATATATATACATGTATATATATACACATATATATAGTATATATATTATATATATATATATATATATATATATATATATATATATATATATATATATATATATGTATATGTATCTATGTGTGTGTGTGTGTTGTGTGTATACATATAGCATATATACACAAAAACATACATATATGTATATGCATATATGCATATATATATACATATATGTATATATTTGTAAATATATACATATATACATATATATAATTAAATGTTTATATATATATATATTTATATATACATATATACACACAAGCTTTTGTATATACGCGCTAGTGTGTATATCTATACCGAGTATATATGTGTTTATTTATACATTCTTCTCTGCACAATCTTTTCGACCGTGTATCCTGAGGGAATTTTGTGTCCATGTCACACGTATTTATATATATACATATATATAGATGTATGTAATATACACATATAGATATATGTATAACTATATATATATATAATATGTATATATATGTATATATATATAATATATATATATGTATACATATGTATACATATATATATATATATATATATATATATATACATTTTTACATACATGCTTATACACATATATGATAATGTGTATATCTATACCGAGTTTATCTCGGTGCTTATTTCTATATTCTTCTCTCTACAGTCTTTTCGACCCTGTATTTTGCGGGGATTTCGAGGCCGT